TGAAAAGATACTTTAGGAGAATGAAAAGATAAGCTACAGATTGGGAGAAATTATTTTCAAATCACTTGTTGATCAAAGGATTTATATCTAGAATATAGAACTCTTAAAACTCAAAACAAGAAAACAAACAATACAATTAAAAAATTGGCAAAGGATTTGAATAGACACTTCACCAAACAGGCTATAATGAGGACATATAAGCACATAAAATGATGTTCTACATCATTATCTATTAGGGAAATGAAAATTAAAACCAAGATGAGATATCACTACAAACCTGTTAGAATGGCTAAAAAAAAAAAAAAAAAAAAATACTGAAGATGCCAAGTGTGCATGAGAAGGCAAAGCAATTGGAATTATTATACGTTGCTGGTGGGAATGCAAAATGGTAAGCCACTCTGGAAAATGGTCTGGTAGTTTCTTATAAAGTTCAACCCACACCATATGATCCAGCAATCTCACTCCTGGGTATTTACCCTAGGAAAATAAAAACACATTCACAAAAGAACCTGTACATAAATGTTTATAGCAGCTATGTTCATAATTGCCAAAAATGGGAAACAACTTAAATGTCCTTCAATGAGCGAATGAAAAAACAAACTGTGGTACGACTTACAAAACTACTCAGCAAAGAAAGGAATAGACTATTAACATACACTACAATGTGTGTAAATCTCAAAGGCATTATGCTGAGTGAAGAAAAAAAAAGCCAGTCTCCAAAGGTTACATACTGTATGATTCCACTTATAGTCTCAAAAAATATAAAACTAAGGTGAGGAAAAGGAGTCCTAGTGGCGGAATGGTTAAGTGCTTGGTTGCAGGCAGCTCAAACCCACCAGTAGCTGCGCCAAAGAAAAGACTTGGCAATTTGCTTCTATAAAGATCCCTAGGGGATCCTATGGGGCAATTTTAGTCTGTCACATTGGGTCGCTGTAAGTAGAAAATTGACTGGACGGCACCTAGTAACAACAAGGTGATGAACAGCTCATAGGTTGACAGAGGTTAGGGGTGGGTGGAGAGTATGACTATAAAAGGATAATATCAGGGAGTAATTTTAGAGTGATGGAACTGTTCTCTATCCTGATTTTATGATGGTAATATAAATATACATATGAACTTTAAATAAAGATATAAAAAATATTAAAAGCATGAAAGTCCTATGCTTTACAATAGTATTGCTTATTTTAAACACCCATCTTCCTAGCTACACTGTAAGTTAAAAGAGGGCAGGAAGTGTGTCTCCCTCATTATTTTATTCCCACTTTATGGTGCAGTGTTTGGCACATACCCCAAACCCACTGCCGTTGAGTTGATTCTGACTCATAGCAACCCCATAGGGTTTCCGAGGCTGTAAATCTCTACAGAAGCAGACTACCACATCTTTTCCCACGGAGCTACCGGTGATTTCGAACCACTGACCTTTCAGTTAGTAGTCGATCGCTTTAAACACTGCGCCACCAGGGCTCCTGTTTGGCACACAGTCACCACTTAATAAATATCTGTTAATTGAAAGTGTTTTTAGTGGAAAGTTAGAAGCTTTCTGACAGACTGATATTGCCTTAAATATTTCTACTTACTTTCCGTTCACTTTGAACGCATGGCAGTCCGTCTGGTTGCTACCCCTACCATTCCTCTGAAACTTCTCTCGCTTAGGTCCCCAATGATCTCCACGTTGCCAGATTCATGGGCTCTCTTCATTTCTCAATGGGACTTCTCTGCTGCATATTGCTCAGTTGATTACTCTCTTGATAAGTACTTCATTCCCTTTGCTTCTGTGACACTAGGATACTTTCTTCTCCTTGTCCTACAACTGTTTCCCCTTATTCTCTTTCAAGAGATTCTCCTCTATGATTTTTCATTGTTTTTCCCCAGGATACCCCCCTGCGTATAATACTCTTCTTTCTCTGTGTTTTGTACTTAGGTGAGTTCTTCTTTTTTATGTGTTTAACTTCATATATATGCTAATAATTCTCAAATATAGCCCTAATCTGTGCCTGAAGCTTATTAGTGTTATCTACTCAGAAGCTAAACAGGCATCTAAACCCATCATCTTTTTGCCATAAGCTCTCCCTCATATAATTCAATCTTAATAAATTACACCATTGGTCAACCAAACCCCAAACCTCGAAGTGATCTTAGACTCTTTTTTTCTCATCACCCTATCAAATTAGTCTCCAAAATTTGCTAATATTGCTCCATAAACACTAACCAAATTTGTTTTAGTCATATTTCTCCTACATGCTCCAATATGAGCTTTCATTTCTCTCTCCTGGAACATGTAACAAAAGCCTCCAAAATTTCCTGAGATTCTGCATTTATTTTTTTTAAATTGAAAAAATTTTGAAACAATCACCAACTTACAAAAAAGTTGTTTGAATAGAAATAACTTTAATTTTGAACTATTTGAAAGTAAGTTGCCAACCAGATGCCTCATCATCCCAGTGTCCTTAGTGTGCATTCCCTACAAACAAGGTCATTCTACAATAACCACAATATAACCATCCAAATCAGAAAATTAACATTCTTACATTATTACCCTCTAATCCTCAGACTCTCTTCCACTTTTGTCAATTATACCAATAATATCCTTTATAGTAAATGGATTCTGTTCAGAGTCATGCATGGCATTTAGTTTTCATGTCTATTTAGTTTCCTTTAGTCTGAAGCAGTTCATTTTTTCTTTGATTTTCATGATCTTGGTTGGCATTTTTTAAGATAATGGGACAGTTACTTTTGTAGACAGATCATTTTTTAAAACAAATCCTTATCTTGCATTGGTTTGATGCTTCCTTGTGATTGGATTAGATTATGCATCTTTGGCAGGAATACCACAGAAGTAATGCTGTCTTCTCATTGCATCCTCTCAGTTGGCGCACAGCTTTAATTTGTTCCATTACTGATGATGTTACTTTGCTCACTTGATTAAGCTATTATCTGCCAGGCTGCTCCAGTGTGAAATTGCACCTTTTCCCCTAGTAAGTAGTAAGTGTTTTTATGGGGATTTACATTGACACAAGGTAAATAACTCTTCCTCATAGAACTTTCAATTTATTCATTTATTAATTTATATCAGTATGAAGTCATAGTTTCCTACTTTATCCAATGGGCTATAATCCATTACTATTTTTATTATTTTGACGCTCAAATTGTTCCAGATTTGACCAGTGAGGGTCTTTTATGATAGCTTATGTGTCATTTTTTGTTACATAATTCCATTATTCTTTGAGCACTTCCTTGCTTTTACATACAAAAAGATGTTCTGGGTTCATCTTATACTTTTCCTGCCCCAGCCCTGGAATCAGGTTCTTCTCCAGTAAGTCCTGGTGTATTTTAGCATAGAATAGAATTTAGAACCAAGATCTGGGTGCTAGTTGTGCTCATTGCTTTTGGGGGGTGGGGCTGCTGCTCCAAGGCCCTCTTAGAGTTAGGGAATATATGTATGCATATACATATACACACATTGATATCTATGTTTATTCCTGTATTTATTTATATTGATTGAAATTCATAAGTTCACACCAATACCTCTAATTTCAACTCAACACCACAAGGTTCATGCTAGCTTTCTATCTTTATATATTTATAACTCCATTCTCTGTTTCTCAGTGAGAAACCTGGCTCCCATTATCCTTAATCTATTTACTTATTTGATCAATCCCCCATTATGCTACCAATCTCCTATCACTGCCTCTACCTCCTCCCCATCATGGGTGCTCTCCTCATTCTTCTTCGGCTCTGACACCCCATTCCAGGCTGTGATAGTTGCCAAATTTAGTGAACAAAGAATATAGGATGGTCAGTTAAATTTAAGAAAACAACAAAGGATGTTTAATGTAAGTATATCCCATGCAATACTTGGGATATATTTATACAAAATCTCTTTAAAGTGTTAAAATGCACAAATGTCATTTTCATGACTAAGGTGTGCTTGACTCAAGCCATGGTATTTTCAATCACCTCATATGTGTGCAAAAGCTCCACAATGAAAAATGAAGACCAAAGGAGAATTGATGCATTTGAATTGCAATGTTGGTCAAGAATATCAAATATACCATTGACTGCCAGATGAACAAACAAATCAGTCTTGGAGTAAGTATAGCCAGAATACTCCTTAGAAGCAAGGATGGTGAGACTTCATCTCACTTACTTTGGATATGTCATCAGGAGAGACCAATCATTTGAGAAAGACATCATGCTTGGTAAAGTAGAAGGTCAGCAAAAAGGAGGGAGACCCTCAATGAGATGGACTGACACAGTGGCTGCAACAGTGGCAATGACTGTGAGGATGGCACAGTACTGGTCAACGTTTCCTTCTGTTATACATAAGGTCGCTATGAGTCAGAGACAACTCATCAGCACCTAACAACAACAATCTGAAATTCAAGTGTAACTGGGCATCCTGTATTTAATATGGCAACCTACAGGCTGGCCCTCCTCTTGGGCTCCCTACCCTGTGCTTAGACTCTGAAACCCAGCTCTAGATTGCTCCAAATGTGGGGATTCTTTCTTTACCCCATTTGGGCTCTGACCCATCCTCCCTACATTGAAGGTTTCTTCAACTACTTTGGAGTCTGACACCTCACACCAGGTTGCTCCTAAGCATGGATACCCCCTTACCTGCTCATGTTCTGATACTTCATGCCAGGGTACCCCCTATGTGAAAGCTCTACTCAACCCACTTGGGCTGCAACATCCAGTACTAGACCATCCCTCCGTGGATGCCTTCCTCATCTGCTCAGTCTGACATCCTATGCCAGATCGTCCCTTCCCACTCCATGCTGATGTTCTTCTCATCTTGTCTGGGCTCAGAAACCACATGCCAGGCTATCCCTTGCATATCCCTCTTACCCTGCTCTGGCTCTGATACCTGAAGCCTCACCTCATACATGGGCACATGCCTCACTCCACAAGGGCTCTGACTTCCTGTGCCAAGCTGCAACCCTTGTGGACACTGTCCTCACCCTGTTTAGGCTGTCTCCCTATGCCTGCTGCATCCTGTGTGAATCCCTCATTAGCGTGCTTATGTTTATAACATAAAACACCTGGGTGCTCCTCTGGCAGCTCTGACCTACCTAATGATTTTAGGATTGAATTTTTCTGGAAAAGGATGAGAAGTGGAAAAGGAAGAGCAAGAGTAAAAAGCAAGACTTTCCTTCACAATTCAAGTAAAGCAAGGATAGAAATGTTGGAGTGGATTCACTCCAATGATGTGCACAAAAGTATATGTTCCTTACCTACTGTCTGACTTTACCCCTTATCACATTCCTCTAAGAACTGTATATTCCAGGTATAGTTATACTTTTGGATTATATGCACTTATGTTTGGGAAAACAAAAAGAAAAATTTAATCAAACAGATTTTCTATTTTTCTCTTGCTGAATATTTTGGGGGATTTTAGGGTTTTTTTTTAGGGGGGAGGAACTAAAAAGGCTATTAAACATTTGCTAGTTTACCAACCTTCTCTTTATATATATATATATTTGGGATACCTCATCCTTTAGAGCAGTCATTCCCAAAAGCTCTCACTCTTAGACTGTTGTTAACTATAATACTTTTTTCAGAGTATAACTGTTAGTTCTCATTCATTCTTTTTGACATTCTGGTATGCTCTTAGGGGCAGGAAGAGGGGTAAGGAAAGGTAGAAGAGGCTGTGTAGTTTAGAAAACTCTAAAGATGATTCTGTTTCAATCCTCCTTTGATAATAACAGCATTCTGATCAAAGGAACAATATTAACATGGCAATGAAAAACTAGTGATCAATCACTTCATTTTTCTTGTCCAATGCACCATGGATTTTTTTTTTTCCTTTTCACATTTAAGTTATTTTCTTTATCTTACTGCATAAATTATCTGTGCAAGTGTCAGCTCTGCCACACTGAGTACAAAATAATCCACCTTTATAAGGCCTTCTCCTCAGAGTTCCTCTACAAAAAAGCAGAAAACATTTAGTTAGGAAAAGTCTCAATTTTTATATATGATTTAAATAATATAGTTATTAGTTTTTAATTAATTCAATAAAGTGATTTAATTAAGAAAATGGACTCAAAGAAGTACTTAAATTGGAGATATAATCCTTCCTTTTCTTCCCCCAGAAAACAGTCTCTTTTGAAACTAATTCCTATGTCCTTGATACAAAGTATTGTAATTTAAATATGAGTGGGTTTTAAACCTTTTATTTTAGTTTGTAGCAAAATTTATCTTCTAAAACATTGATGTTTTAATTTTTTACTAATAATTTCTATTTGGGACAAACATATTAAAAGTTCTGTAGAAATGGCATCTTAATCATCTGAAGAGTTTACAAAATCCTGAAAACACCTATTGTCCAAAAGACCCATCTATATAGACTATTTTGAGGTCTGAATGAAAAAATACATAAATATATAAACAAGCAAATACACGAAAACAGGATTTTACAATGTTGATTTAATACACTGTACAGAGCTAAAGATAGAAGTGGAAAATTATTACATCAATTACCCAGAGCTAAGTGTGAAAAAAAGTTTGGAAAGTAGATACAAATTGGGAAGTTTATATAAAGGATCTAGTATTAGAAAGACAGGGGAGATAAGCAGTGAAAAGACAGTCTTGAGTGGGAGGAAGGGCACTAATTCTGGTCCTTTAAACAGGATTGCATATTTACCCAGTGTGCAATTGGAAGCAATAAAAATAAACTTTAGGTATATAAATCCCTGGTTGGGCTAATTTGGGCCATCTACAAGAATGGTCAAACCTAAGAAACACATGTTCAAAAACCTAAATATCAAATTTCTGAGCCATATCTTATCTATTCAAAGGATTTTGATGACTCCCAATACGGTCTTTGATATCCTTGAATTACAAGCTTTCCAGTCCATCAAGGATATACAGAGGTTGGTGGTTATATGCAGATCATATATTACTTCTCCAAATTCACTGTTCCGTTATCAAGAAAGAAATGTATTTTGTTTGGATTCCAGTCAGAGCACCAGCCTTCTAGAACCTCAAGAATTGATTTAGTTACCTTTACCTACATCCTAGTCTACTTTTTCTGCCCTAACTCTGTATTACTGAAACATATGCCTCCAACACAAAAACAGAGATTATCCTCTCTCAAGACTCCAGGGATGGGGGTGGTAGGAGTCGTGTTTCTGCCTTTATACCTTTGCAAAAAGCTACTCACTATAAAGACTGCCTTTGGTTGGGGTCTACAGCATAGGCCAATCACCCTATGATCATAATATCTGATAACCATAGCCTGGAATAGCTCTGGGAAGGCAAATCAATCAGTCACACTGTGATAGAATACAATGAGTCTTCTTTTTAAAATATCTGAAGTTCATAATCACCATTTGTATCAAATAGCCAGAAATGCTAGGCTAATATTCTCCCACATCTCTTTCTCTGAGTTTCTGAGAAGTTGAATCATAATCGACTCAAGTCTGAAACTATAGTACAATTCCACAACTACAGTTGGAATTATTGTGCCAGATTAGGAGAGAACAATAGATAAGTATTTATAACCTGCAAAGTCTACTGAAATTTCACAGCTGCCCTGGCAGTGCCTAAAGAAACAGATAAAATAGCCTATTTTCAGGCCTGTGATTTTTCCAAGAAGCAATCCCAGTGGCTTACTGATACATACTACAGCTCTGGCTTCTGGTTCCTATCCGGAGGATCTATAAATTTACTAAGAAGATGTAAAGAATCTATTCCAATAAACTGGAGAAAAAAACAATGTCAATCAACAAGCAGCAAACAAGCTAGCCTAGTTAGAAAACTCCCTCTGTCTCTCCTTCTGACACATCTAACATGTTTGTCTATTCTAAAAACATCCTGGGCCTATTGAAGGTCAGAAAAGTATGAACCCTGTTATTTTCTGCCTCAAATTATCCCTGTGTGTACAAAATAACCTTAAGGCTGCCACATCTTTCTCCGGTGGAGTGGCTGGTGGGTTTGAACCACCAATGTTTGGGTTAGCAGTCCAGCACTTTAGCACTGCACCACCAGGGCTCCTTTACTTTGTATTACTTTCTGTAAAACCCAGTTGGCCGGATCTCTTCCCTTTACTTCCACATCCTGCACCTAAAGGATTGGGGACTATAGTTAAAAGCTGATAAAGCACCTTTGAGGCCAATACTATTTAGCTGGACCATCTTCTGACCCTCCTCAAGACAGCTATCTATTCCTGATTACACCTCTTTATTCACTGAAGTCTTCAGCACCTAGCTCAGACCAAATGTTTCCATTGTCCTGGAATCTGGGACCTAGATGATTATAAGATTCATATGGATGATTCATACAGTAACTTGGCTTCTCTGTTACTGGATGTCTTCACCATCAATAAACTTCCCAATACTTCATAATTATCAACCACTCTTATAAGCCACACTCCAAATCTTGTCCTCCCTTAAACTGCTTCATCTCTGAAGTCACAAATCAGACGTTCCACTCACTGTCTACAATCTCTTATCTTTTCAGGTTGCTCACTCGTTTACTCCCAGAACAGTTGTTTATTAATTACATTGATGCCTCGAGTCTATTTTCTCTCCAATTTTCTCACTACCCATTCTGTTCTCTCTTCTCTATCCAGCTTAAGTCAACTGCTTCACATGTTCTCTAGCCAAAACCTGAAACTGTCTTGCACTCATTTCCTTCACATCCACTTGACAAAACTCCAGTTCTGGAAAAATTAGAGGAATCCAACTATCATCATGCTCCATATCTGATCCAGGAGTGGTGCTGGAGAAAAATTATTAAAACCATTAAACTAGGTAAAGAATCCTTCTACAGTTCCCTAGTCAACTTCCTTCTGACTTCTCACTTTCCACAATAACTGTTTCAAACCTTCCCTAACCATCAAAATTCCAGCTCCACGGCCTCCTCCTTTACTCTCAGGACATGTTCTGTTCTACTTCACTGTTGTTAGATTGAAACTTGAAAAATTTTCTGTCACTCATGTTGTGGGGTTGTTAACCAATGTCATAAAACAATATGTGTACTACTGTTTCGTGAGAAACTATTTGTTCTGTAAGCCTTCACCTGAAGTACAATAAAAAAAAAAAATTTCTGTCACTAAATATCACAAACATACCTATTCCTACTTTCCTTCCTTTCTAATACAACTGAAAAATTGCTCCTCCTTCTATCTAAAGCTCCTAATCCCTTGCAGCCTTGATTACATATACTCTGCCTTGTATTTGTTGTTTTTGTCAACTGCTGTCAAGTCGATTTCGACTCATGGCAATCCAATGTGTGCAAAGTAGAACTGTGCTCCATAGAGTTTTCAAGGCTGTGACCTTTCAAAGCAGATCACCAGGCTTATCTTCTGAGGCGCCCCTGAGTGGGTCCCAACTGCCAAGCTTTCGGCTAGTAGTTGAGAATTTAACCCTATGTGTCACCCAGGGATTCCTCTGCCTTATATTGTTGTGTGCCATTGAGTCAATTCTGACCCATAGCGACCCTATAGGACACAGTAGAACTGCTCCATAGGGTTTCCTAGGCTGTAATCTTTACGAGAGCAGATCTCCTGGTCTTTTCTCCCTTGTAACTGCTGGTGGGTTTGAACTGCTGACCTTTCAGTTAACAGCTGAATGCTTAAACATTGTGCTACCAGGGCTCCTTCTACCTTGTATACTTAACCTTTTATTCTGTATTAGCATCGTCATGTCAATATTTAAACATGCTCACATCTTTCCCATCTTAAAAACAAAACAAATAAAAACAATAACAATGAAGAAAAACCACATTAATCTTATTCTTTCTGCAGCTAATTACCCTCCCTCTTTCTTACCCCTCACAATTAAATGTCTTGAACAAGGTGATCATACTGTATCCATTTCCGTGGCTTCCTCTCATCCCTCAGTTCATTCCAACCTGGCATCAGTCCCCTATACTCCATGGAAATGGTTCTCCCTAAGTTTACCAATGACATTCTCTCTAAATCTGATATGATATTTTTAAGTCTTTACTTTGCTTGACCTCTTAAAATTTAAATTTTGGATGACTTCTTCCTTTTAAAAACATTAGTTTCCCCATGGCTCCTATGATACCGTATTCTTCTCTTTTTTCTCCTACCTGTATGTCTACTCCTTGGAAACCCTGGTAGTGTAGTGGTTAAGTGTTACAGCTGCTAACCAACAGGTCAGCACTTCGAATCCACCAGGCGCTCCTTGGAAACCCTATGAGGCAGTTCTCCTCTGTCCTGTGGGGTTGGTATTAGTAGGAATCGACTCATTGGCAACAGATTTGGGTTTTTTTTTTTTTTTTTTGGTATGGCCACTCCTTATTAAATGGTCCCCTATTCCACCATATCTTCCTCGAACTGCCCTTAAATGTTGGCATTCCAGAGATCCTCTTCTCTTCTCACTTTATACTCTTTCATTGGTAGATTTCCGCTACTCCAAATATTTATTCTATGCCACACTTCTCTCATGAGCTTCTGATCCATATAACCATCTACATACTTACTAAATATCTCAAAGCAAATATGCTACAGCCAACTAAAATTCACTACATTCAAAATGGAGCTCATAATTTTCTCTCCTAAAAAGTACAGTGTTCCCCATTACAGCTAGTGGCAATACAATCTATGCTTAAGTCATAAATCTGAGAATCGTCCTTGCCTCTTTCCTCTCTCTCATTATTTAATAAAATGATCTAGCAATCCTATTATTTATATTTCCTTAAAGTGTCTTAAATGTCTTAAATCTGTCTACTTCTCCAATCCACCATTCGTCTGGGAATTCCATTTGGATTTTATTTTGCTGAAATGAGTGAGGAAGGAATGAAGCTTTATTTCTATAGAGTTAGTCTGCTCTCCTGATTTCATTATTTAATAATCATAATTTATCACAATTGTAAATGCCACTTGTATCATAATCATTTATATACGTATTTGGATCTACTCCTTGATTATCAATTATATACAATTATATACACCGAT